CCTGGGTGCTGTCCCTCAGCTCTTCAGCTCAAGGCTAGCACTCTACCACTTGAGCCACAGCACCACTTCCGGCTTTTTTCTTTATGCTTATGTGGTGCTGAGGAATCGAACCCAGGGCCTCAGAGGCATGCAAGGCAAGCGTTCTACCACTGAGCCATCTTCCCAGCCCCCGGATTGAGACTCTTATCTCCAATAAACTACTAGAAAACCAGAAGTGGCGCTGTGGTTCAAGTGGTAGAGTGCTCACCTTGATCTGAAGAGCGCAGGGACAGCGCCCAAGCCCAGAGTTCAAGCCCCACAACCGACCAAAAAAAAAAAAAGAGTCTCACAGACTTTCCTGTCCGGGCTGGCTTTGAACCATGATCCTCAGATCTCAGCCTCCTGAGTAGCTAGGATTAAAAGCATGAGCCACCGGCACCTGGCTTCATTTTCCAAAGTTTTATGCATTAGTTCCTTCGATACATTACCTTTATACTATATAAACCCAAGCAAAACATGAACTGCTTACATTCCATATAGCCTCGTGGTGGGAAAATTTTTGGAACAAAACTATCAAACAAGTAGAAGCCACCCTCACAAGTTTGTCAGATGACCAGTGGATAATAACTTGTGGCGTGTAAGCTCGGGAGGAGCATTAGTACTCTGCTCTGGCCTCTAACATTCCAGAGCCTAAACAGCTGGCTCATTTCCAGCTTTCCCCAGCATATCCAGCAGCTTCTACACCTTGTTCCAGGCAGAGTGAAGTGGTAAAGAAGAAAAGGGGTCTCACTGTCAGTATTCCTACCACAGAAATTGTCAGATGTTCACCCTGTCTTTTCTAAGTTTGGATTGTCACAGTTATGTGCACATAATTAGGAAGGAAAAGTGTACATTAGTAACAAGGATCTCTCCATTTTGCTCTTTCAGATTAACAACATGAAGACCAAATTTAAAGAAACAATTGAGAAGTGTGACAGTTTGGAGCACAGGTTGAACGATCTCCTCAAAGAAAAACAATCTGTGGAAAGAAAGTAGGTGCCTTTCATCCGTCCTTGAAATGGGTTGCTGTGTGACAGCAGACCCCGGGAAATGACACAAAACCAGTCCCTTCATGTTGGGACGCCCTCAGTTTTGAGCATGTGTGTCAGTAGGCTCTGGGGGTTCCCTGATTGAGCAGCTTTTTTTAAAAAAAGTGTAGTAAAGCAGGTGCCTGTGGCTCATGCATGAAATCTCAGCTACTCGGTGGCTGAGATCTTAGGATCTCCGTTCAAAGCCAGCCCAGACAGGAGAGTCCATGAGACTCTTAATTTCCAATTAAACCAAAAAAGGCTATAAGTGAGGATGATGCCCAGGCCCTGAGTTCAAGCCCCAGGATACACACACACACACACACACACACACACAAACACGCACGCACGCACGCACGTACTTCAACTTGTCATTCCTTACTAATGAGTAAGATTGGGCGCTCCCAATTCCTGCTAGCACAGTGGTTAACCTTTTTCTTTCTCCAGCAAATGCAGTGAGGTCAGAGCACTTGACTCTCCAAGAATGTCACTTTTTCTCAGAACTTCCCAGTCACAGCATGTGGCTCTGGGGTCCCTGTGTGCTCACTGACTGCCACACCGAGGCGCAGCAGAACCTCCAAGTGTGGCCTGAATCACAGCTTTCTGTGATTGAAAGTTTTCTGATTCTTAAAACTCTCTTGAAGTTACATGAGGGATTGCTTTGCACAGTGATTTCAGTGGCAATGAACAGCCTCCCTTGGCATGGTAGGAGTGGCTTAGTCCCAGGCAGGAGGGGGACTGTGTCAGCAAATGCCAACGGGTTTCTATCTCCCTTTGTTTTGCCAAAGGTGCTCCCAGCTGAACACAAAAGTGGCCAGACTCACCACCGAGCTCCAGGAGGAGCAGGAAATGAACAAGTGTTTGCGCGCCAACCAGGCCCTCCTACAGAATAAGGTGAGGGATGGGGAGAGGTTGCTGAAGGAGACCTGTGACCAGAAGGACCTGCAGATCACGGAGATCCAGGAGCAGCTGCGCGACGTCATGTTCTACCTGGAGGCGCAGCAGCAGATCAGCCACCTGCCTGTGGAGACCAGGCAGGAAATCCAGGAGGGGCAGATCAACATCGCCGTGGCCTCGGCCCCCAGCCCCTCTGCTTCTGGGAGCAGTGGGAGGCTGCCCTCCAGGAAGGGCCGCAGCAAGCGGGGCAAGTGACCCTCGGAGAAGCGTCCCCATGACTGTGCCCTGCACTGCAGGAGGGTGAGCCTAAGAAGCAGGAGTGAGGATAAGCTGGTCTTTGCCCTTTCATTTGCGTGTGGTGTGCTGAGTGCAGGGCTGAAGGCCATGGCAGTGTGTTCAGCGTGGTGCTGGTCACAAACCTTACACACTCAATGCCCACTTTGCCTTCTGCCTAGTAGGTGCCCCGACCCCGTAGGGCATTTTTCAGTTGTATTTATTGAGTTGGAGTATTTATCGTTCTTTTGGGCATCAGTTTAAGACACGAAGTTTTACTGTGATCTAGAAGGTAACATTACCAAGCACCCAAGCTCTGACCTCCCAGAGCTCAGAGCAGCTGTTGTGAGAGGTCCCTTCGCTACCGAAGAGCTGGGAAAAGTCCCACGCTTGGCCCTCATCGCCTCCCACCCCTCTGCCTCATAGCTGGAGGATTGTTCCGATGTTATACGAAGAGAGGCTGGCTGGTCCCCAGCAGCCATCTCAACTTGCTCTCTAAGTCTAGCCAGGAAAAACAAACAGCCTGAGTTAGACCGAGTAGACCCAGGGTAAGGAAAATGGTGGCAGTTTATGTTATTTATTTTTGGTGATTCCCTACAGCATTACTCACTGCACTTAAAAAAGAGGCTTGGTGGCCACTCCAAGACTCAAATCTCCAAGCACACGTCCCAGCATCCAGTGAAAAAAATTGCAGGGATAATCATCCATGTAAAAGTGGGGGAGGGGGTCCCTGTCTCACTCATGTGTTTTGCTAGAAGATGGGCCTACACGGCTGCAGCCAGAGGGAGACAGGGCAGGTTTTCAGTTATGTTCTCAAGGTACTGCCAAAGGCTGTTTCCACTTCCAGAACCTGGAATTTCCACAGAGCCCTTTGTGAGGCTTGTGGTGGGCCAGCAGTGTCTGTGCACTTCCTCTAGAGCCGGAAGCATCAGTCCAGACCTACAGGAACTGAGCAAAACTGAAATGCAACCGTGTTAGAATTTAGCTTCTAGGAGAGGTAACTGGATTAGGTTAACAAGGCTTACTGTTCAACCATGGGTTTTGGTTTTTGCTTTCTAATTAGCCAAAGGATTTTACTTAGCACATTTCTGAATCGTTTCTTTAGTCCGTGATTCCCCCCTCCCCCCCTTCCTTGTTGCCATCTGTGTGGAGCTGCCACTGACCTTCCCAGAATCCTTGAGAGTTTGCAGAATGAGTGTGCACAGCCATTCTGAATCTCATGCTTAGGACAGACCAGACTGTAAGTCCTCTCTTTGGACTTGAATATACAGACATCTAAAAACAAGAATGAGAATGGAAAGCATAATCAAATTCTCTTTCCTATAGAGTTTCTATTTTATTTAAAATCTATTTTTACACTAGCTAAGAGTCCTGCTGTTTTGGCCAAGTGCTTGTTGTGCTTGTCCTGCATGTACAACCCTGGGAAGCCAGGGTGGGTGGTGGCATACTAATGACCAGAATCAGATGTAGTTGCAAAGTATTCTCTGCGGTTCATTAACATCACCCCTGCAGGCGAGCAGGCAGCCCTGCCCGGCTGAGAGCCCAGCTTTGCACGGTGGGACAAACACCGAAGGCTGTGCCGGGGAACAAGCACACCGAGATGCACACCACGATACGTCAGAAGGTTAAAGCTTTGTTTGATTTGGACGGAATTACTTAAGTGGGAGCTGTTAAGTATTTTCCTTCAGGATGGAGATGAACCCCTTGTCCATACTACCTGAACAATTAAATTGTATTGAAATAGCCAACCTCTGGGTTTATTAGCCCTGCGTGAACCTTTGTTTCTGAGTGCCTGGGAGCACCTGTCTGAGAATCCAAGAAATGGTCAGTGGCCTGGATTTCAGAAGCCACATAAAGGTCACCTTCCTCACAGCCATCCATCCGTCTACCCTTCAGCCCTTTCCTTAAAGCTTCCCAAACCCAAACCCTTTGCCAGTTTTCCCAGTTTTTTGGGAAGAAAATCGCGGAGGCAGGAAGATTTCTTGAGACCAGGAGGACAGCCTGGGCAGCACAGCAAGACCCTATCTCAAAGGAAAAAAATTGAACTTTTGGTACTTTAGGAAATTACCTGAATTTGGTGGCTTAGGTGGAGGGAAGCCCAGACATACTACTCTTGCCAACTAAGTCAATCTTGTATAGAGCGTACACCAAGCAGACGCTTTTTATATTTGGAAAGTGTGGCATACATGACTCGCTGGGCCCATTGGGTAATAAAGAGCATGGGAAGCAGCTCCCCTTCCTGCCTGCACAGCAAAGTCCTCATCCAAGACTGTGAGCAGCCAGCCGGCAGGGTGTGAGAACTTGGCACATGGCATATGAACAGCCTTCTGTCGTGGCTGGAAAACCCTTTGGTGCAGCCAGAATATCCACACCGCAAGTACCAGCCACCAGATCTGGCTGCCGCTCGCCATGCCATGGTGCTGAGGGCATACTTTGGCTCAGTGATGGCATTTAGGCATATCTAAGAGACGCATTAACTTGGGCACAGTGTCCCATCCATGCACTGGGCACAGTTTATGCCTCGAGAGAGTCAGGAACCACCTCCTTGATGGTGCAGGGACGTCTGGGTGTGCAGACCCAGCCATCAACTTAGGACACACCACGTGCTCTGTGACCAGGCTGCTGAACCTCTACCCCCATCCCGCCTTCCCCCCACCCCCCAGTACTAAAGATTTAATTTAAAACATCCTGCTTGGGAGGCGCTCCTGCTTGCTCTACAACTGGAGCCATACACTGCTCCCCCAACCCCACTGATTTCCTTTTCCTCCTTCTTGGCACTGGGGATAGAACCCAAGGATTTGTTTAAGCTAACTATATACTAGGCCACTGAGCTACACACCCAGACTCCATTCTTGCCTGTGAAAACTACTAAAATGGGAATCCTAGAATAGCTGCATTTAGACTCTGGATGTACCTAAGGTTTTGGGGGGGGGGATTGTTTGTTTGCTTGTCTTGTGTTTGGCTTTTTGGGGTTTTTTTGTTTTTTGTTTTGGTCGGTTGTGGGGCTTGAACTCTGGGCCTGGGCGCTGTCCCTCAGCTCTTCAGCTCAAGGCAAGCGCTCTACCACTTGAGCTATAACGCTACTTCTGGTTTTCTAGTGGTTTATTGGAGATAGGAGTCTCACGGTCTATCCTGCCCAGGCTGCCTTTGTTTTTTGTTTGTTTAGTTGGTTTTTTCTTTGTGGGGGTCCAGTCCTGGGGCCTGAACTCTGGGTCTGGGCGCTGTCCCTCAGTTCTTCAGCTTAAGGCTAGTGCTCTACCATCAAGCCACAGCACCACTTTCTTTTTCTTTTCTTTTTTTGCTTATGTGGTGCTGAGGAATCGAACCCAGGGCCTCATATGCATGCAAAGCAAGCACTCTACCACTGAGCCACCTTCCCAGCCCCCCGGGCTGGCTTTGAACCGCAATCCTCAGATCTCAGCCTCCTGAGTAACTAGGATTACAGGCATGAGCCACTAGTGCCCTGTCTTGTGTTTGTTTGTTTGCATTTTTTTTGCATTTTTGTTTTTTGTTGGTTGTGGGGCTTGAATTCACAGCCTGGGTGCTCTCTCTGAACTCTTTTATTCAAGGCTAGCACTCTACCACTTTGAGCCACAGCACTTATGGTAGTTAGTTGGAGATAAGAGTTTCACAGACTTGGGGCTGGGAAGGTGGCTCAGTGGTAGAGCGCTTGCCTTGCATACACAAGGCCCTGGGTTCGATTCCTCAGCACCACATAAGCAAAAAGAAAAAAGCCGGAAGTGGCGCTGTGACTCAAGTGGTAGAGCGCTAGCCTTGAGCTGAAGAGCTGAGGGACAGCGCTCAGGCCCAGAGTTCAGGCCCCACGACCGGACCCAAAAAAAAAAAAAAAGAGTTTCACAGACTTTACTGCCTGGACTGGCTTTGAGCCCTGATCCTCAGATCTCGGCCTCCTTAGTAGGTAGGATTACAGGTGTGAGCCACCAGCTCTCAGCAGCCCTTTTATTTTTATTTTGCTTTTTGGATGAAGTGTCACTTTGCCCAGATGCTAAAATACTCCTGCCTCCATCTTCTAAATAGATGGAACTACAGGCATGCACCACCACACCCAGCTTAAAGTACAATATTTTTAGGTGACATCATCAGGTATAGCCAATTTACTAAAAAAGGCTTCAGAAGCCTGATCCTCCAAAGCCACATGTCTCCTCTCAGTGATACAGATTGGATTTTATCCCCTCCAGCATTGTTTGGAGCAAACAAGTTTTTATTTGTGAATTAGGGGAGGTTATAAAGGCATCTTTTTTTTTTTTTCTTTAACTGCAGATTTGGGGTAATCATGCCCCTCTTTATCCTAACATAATGCCTTCCTTTTTTTTTCTTTTTTTATTTGGCCCGTCATTGGGCCTGCTCTGGGCCTGGGCACTGTCCCTCAGCTCTTCAGCTCAAGGCTAGTGCCACAGCACCACTTCTGGCTTTTTTCTGCTTATGTGGTGTTGAGGAATCAGACCCAGGGCCTCATGCATGCAAGGCAGGCGCTCTACCACTGAGCCACCTTCCCAGCCCCTTTACTTCTGTTTTTAATGCTCATCTTTATCTTGAATCCCAGCAACCTGGGCTCTCCTTGGATCTCTCCCAGGAAGAAACAGGCAAGTTCTGTTGCAGATTAATTCTCAAGGTTGTTCCCACAGGGCAACACTTTTAAGAATCATGGCAGCTAGCAAGCATGCTGCCGAGGAACCAAGCAGTCCACGGTGATCCTGCAAGTTTAGGGTGAATGGAAAAACACTTATGCAGCAGCTTCTCAATCTGTGCACTTGTTGCTGCATTGAAGGGAGATATGAACAATCATACAAGATGATCATTCACTTTGGGGCCTCATGTTAAATTGTTCCGAGTCCAGAATCATCCAGAAAATGTACTTGTCACGGGTGTTGCACTGCTACAGATAATATTCGTTACTCAAGACTAATTACCAAGTCCACTGAGTAAAGCAGCTTTGTTTCTTTTCAGACCTTGTTCTAAATCCCCTGACCTGAAACCTTCCTTTCAGAGCCTGAGATTGCCTCAGAATTAATGCAGGGCAGTTGACCCAGCCTGGAATCACAGGCACAGTCCTCACCAAGATGGCTAATGAGACCCACAATAAACCACCCTGCTGCCAGGCACCCATGACTCACGCTTGTAATCCTAGCTACTCAGGAGACTGAGATCTGAGGATCACGGTTTGAAGCCAGCCAGGGCAGGATAATCTGTAAGACTTTTTTTTTTTCGGTCGTGGGGCTTGAACTCTGGGCCTTGGCGCTGTCCCTCAGCTCTTCAGCTCAAGGCGAGTGCTCTACCACTTGAGCTACAGTGCCACTTCGGTTTTCTGGTGGTTTATTGGAGATAGGAGTCTCACGGTCTCTCCTGCCCGGGCTGGCTTTGAACCTCGATCCTCAGATCTCAGC